GGGCCACGTAAAACATTTAAGTGTCGCCATCAAATTTTCTGCCAGCACGTTTACGGTGCCTGGGAACCGTCGAGTCCGCGAGAAGTAGGATCGAATTGAACTGTGTTCCTTAGGATTAATACTCCTGGAAGGCTACGACTGGAGCCAGTCGATCTTGGAAACCTCAATCTCGAGGTTATGGAAAAGTATTCCCGCGATATAGCTGAAAATATCGAGGAATTGGTTAGTCGCAGATACACTGAGGAGATTCGGCTGAGGAAAAGTGGAACAGGTTCCATTTTTGGCGCGTTACGCGAGTCGAGGAGATGCTGGACTTCAAAGTGGGAATTTTTATATTCGAGAATTGTCTGACGCGACGAAACTGGAAATAAAAAGGAAGCGCTTACGTTCGAGTTGTGAAAAATCAATGAAATATAAACTGCGATGATAGCGATGGTAGCTCTGGCGTTCTCTGCCAGCGGACTTCCATCTCGAAATCCCTGAGATTCGTCAAGGTCCAAGACCAACCATCAATCTGGTCGAATAAATCGCTTGTCGTGACACGAAACATTCCCGTGTGCGAGCCTCGGTGTTGGATAGCCTTTCCAATCTTTCTCGTACCTTCCTTCGTCTTATGTTGCCTCGGCTGTCGCGATACCAGTGGCAGATAGCAGGTTGAGAAGGAATTAAATAAATCGTGGAGACACAACGATCAGGAGGACCAAATTGAGACCTCAGCGAGGTTTAAAAGATTCTAACAAGCTGACCTGTACATGGAGAGAAGCGAGAGGAGAGGTTTAGATGAAGACAGTTTTACTTTTTGCACTCGAGGCCTTTTTTTCTGGTATCTACCAGCAACTCGAGATACTTAGCATTCTATTGCCACGAATGCTAAGCTAATTAGAAATTTGAAAATCAAGTCACCCTTACCCTTCGGTAATCATTGTACCGACACTTCGAGTTCCAATGAAATTAAACCTAAACAAACGTTATTGCTGGTTGATTTACTGCGTCAAAAAGCTGGTGAGAGTCACCTCTCGAGCGTAAAGGATTAATTGAACAGAGCAGAAGGTACCAAAGAACGTTACAGTTGCTTCTACTGAATATTAATATCTCATCTTCGCCAGTCCCTTCCTTATGGTTAGAGATGCGAAGTGTCGATGAACTCATGCTCAAATACACGAGTTTCTATGAAAGCGGTGGATCTATTTCCAACTTTCCAGTGGGCTTTACAGGAAAGAAAGAAGAAAGTGTCAATAGTGCAAATGATAAAACTCGTCTCCTAAAAGACGTGCAAATATTCTTGAGGAAACAAGAGCAGTTTCAACAAGAGCGAGAAGACATATCGTCAAAAGAATGCTTCTCCTATTCGGAGAAATCAATAGAGGAAGGCAAACTCCACGGGAACATTTTGGGATCCAAAATTGATTGACCGAGGTCTTACAGGTTTGGTTAACGTGTTGGCGTGCATTAATTGCACGCTTGAGAGCGCAGCGTCCCTTTCTTGCAGCTTTGAATAGCCAATATTTCATCGATCGGTCGATAATGATAGATATTGACAGTAATGAAGCTATGTCGAGAGCAAGGAAGTTTCCAAGTCACCTAAACATGGGTATGAAAAATTTTTAATACAGAATAATAGCATGTTGATGAAGGTTACACTCGAATATCTGAGTTAGGTCTGATGAGAGAATCTCCGCTGTAAATCGAGATATTCGCTGTGTATTAAAAAAACCATCGTAAATAAACATGTCAGAGATATTAAAAAGCATATCATTTTTGATACTCGCCTAACTATATTCATTAGCCGGAGGAATGTTCGGATTACTCAAGCGAGAGGTATTTGTTGCCTCGAACCTCACGGGAATCGCTGATCTATGCTGTTAGCTGAATATCGTTCTGACCTACATATGAATCAGCAGCCTGTGAACGTGTGGAGAATATTAGAAACACTTCATTCGGGTACGGGGGATTCCGTGAACTTTAACTCGCGGTTGTAACTGAAATATTACTTGACCCTTATCTCTGCGGGTAGATGTGAGAAATAACCACTACGCGAATCAAAAGCTGCTGCTAAGGAAAAACCTGCGGTTTGGTGGACTCGAGGATTTATAGGCCAGGTGCGCGTGAATGCTGTTTCCCGTAAACAAAACACAGCAGTTACGAACACAGCTGTTCTTATACAACAAATACTCCGATTCCTCGGTGAAAGACACAGTTGCCTCGTCCTACCTAAACGCAAGCTGATTTACCTAATAACTTATTCAAAATTACATATACAAATTCATCGATAAATAACAAATGAAAATTGATTCCTAGTACAAGTTTCATATCGCAAAAGCATCGACCTCATTCAGGTACTACAGACTACGAATTGGCCACCCACTCGTAATTCAGTCCTCGTCTGTAACCTTCGGCGGCAATTGCCTCCTGCCGATTTAAAAACGGAGATGGACATGCTTGACTTTGGTAATTAACCCGCAAATGCCCACGAGAACCACCCAAGAAATAGAAACAGACCATAGCTCGCGACCGTTTGCAAATACAAGTTCCATCGCGAAGACGTCCTCCCGTCTAATCGGATTGACGCTAAGGTGGTCTCTGATCGATTCATGGGGATCCCAACGCTAGATCCCCGGCTACTGGCACGCCTGCTATTGCGCGTGCGCGTGTTTGGTACGCGTGTGCGTGAGCAGTGTATCGCTGCGCGTGTAAACCGCAGGGCAGAGCCGGCAGGCGTACTTTCCCGGAAAATGCACGTAATAGTGATTGCGCACGTTCGTCACGACCTTACCGCACAACGAGCACCGCCTCCTCTCGTCGTTGTTATTCGGTCTCTCAAATATTTGCGATATCCGCCAATTTTTCAGCTCTGCAACAACAGAAACCACAGGGTCAGCAAGCTCCCGAAACACCGCGACGCGTCGACCGGCGCTCATCTCTCTATTTCTGGCTCTTTTTTTTTATTTCGATTTTATTTGTCTGCTCTTTCTCTCGCTCTACGTTCCTCATTCATTTTTACTAAACTCCGGCGTGCGCGTGTGCGTGTAAGGCTGTGTGCCACCTCGGAGCAAACAGACTCGCAAACCTCCCCCAAATTGAAGAACAGATTTCAGGTTTCTCCGTTACCCTAAGCTTGGAGTTTCTGTATTAAAAAATTCTAAGCTGTGAATTGTCGAGATTTGGTACAGTACTGCCTCGATACACGTACGAGTCGACGTTAGGGATACTTGAAACAAAATCACCCCCACCACCTTCCCAGAAAAATTCTTCTTCGTTACCCTAAGCTTGAAATTCCTATATTAAACAATTCTAGGCTCTGCATTGTCGAGGTTAAATGAATCGAACACCCAGGTACAACACTGCCTCGGTACTCGAACGAGTCGACGTTAGGGGTACTTGAAACAGAGTCACCCCCATCACCTTTACAGAAAAATTCTCCTTGGTTACCCTAAGCTTGGAGTTCCTATATTAAATAATTCCCAGCTACATTGATGTCTCGATACTCGAACGAGTCGACGTTAGGGGTTCTTGAAACGGAGTCACCCCACCACTGAAGATCCTAAGGGGTTCATCCCTAAGGAAGGCAGTACTGTACCTGATACACGAAGCTGTTTCTCCGAGCACTAATCGGATCCACGTTACGAAAACGTAGGCCTAGCTGGTTTCCCTTACGCAAAGAAACTTGTACAGGTGTGAACGTATCGAACACAGCGATGGAGGTCTCTCCGACTTACAAGCAGTTTGAGGATTAGGTCGTCGGAGGGGGAACTTGTTGCTGTGTCGCTGATGCTCGACGAGACGAAAGAAGCAATCTCTGACGACCCTTTTCGATTTCCTGGAGAAAGCGCGAGAACACGAGTCCCTCGGAGTCCGTAACGTCGTGGTAGTATCCAGCGCGGTATAGTGGTCTTTATTCCGCCAAAGGACACATACACGGCCAAGTATAAGCGAGTACAACAAACGTAGCTTATTTATAAGGTACGATACGAGGACGACGGAGGAAGATCAAAGTGGTCAGAAAAGATCGAACTCGCTCCTCTCGAAGTTACAAACTGAATTCGCAAAGATACATAATCCTAGGTATTTCGTTACGTTTTCTCGCGACGTTTGCTTTGAGTAACAATAAACCAAAGTTTCGAACCGATCACTGGTAAGAATACAGTCGAAGAAATATTTGTCGTAGCATTAATTCAGAGGATTGATAAGGCTTTGAAAATGTCAAATTTCGACAATATCAGGCAATAGCCACGACAAGTATTTCCTTTACACTCTGTACAACGTAGATTCAAATGATATATTCTAGAAGGATAACGATGGATGATTTCGCAGTCTAAGGAGCCCCCAGGTGCTAGAAAAGTACTACTTCAAAGGAAGAGATCTACAGACTTGGTAGCCAAGAAAGTGACATTTACACTCGGTGAGTTGTCTAAATATTTAAAACAAGATCACTATCGGATCACTATTCAGCTGAATAATTCGTTTCGACCCTCCACGGAACAACACGACGGTGAATTAAGGGAATCCTAGGCAAACGAATCGTTTGGACGTTCGAACACGTGACAACGATTCAAGTTTTCCCGACAGCGATACGTCTGACCGTCGGATGCGGCGACAGCGGCCGGATGTATCGGTAGGCAACGTGGGAGGTATCGGCACACGGTCTCAAATTGACAATCGACTCGAGGATCTGAAACGGGGATGCTTCGTTGGAGTGAAATCTCGCTGTCGAAGCTCCAACGTGTCCTAAACAAATACGAAATTAACGCAGGAATTACAATGATTTTCACATTCACTCACGTGCATCGTCGTGTTTGCACACTTAGACGCCCCTCAGCGACGCGTTAACATCCGCACGGTGCGCGAGAGAGCTTCTTTCGCTCGCGAATTAGGCGCGCGACAAATTCCCTCCGAGCAGGATTATCGACAACGCGAGAAATACTTCCGTAATCGAGCACCGTGCGCACATTAACGGCAAGGAGATCAATGATCTGGAAGAAAAAGAAAGATAGACGGCTCGGTTAACACACAATTATGTTTAATCAAAAAATTAGTATGAAATACATTAAATGCACATGTGATTAATTCTCCATATTTTTTTTTTTTTGTTTGTTTCATTATCCTCATCATCCATATATTATCTACACTATAATTAAAGGTGTATATAATAATTGCAATCGTAACATAACACTTGCATGTTAGAGTAACCATAAGAATAAGAATATAATCGTAGTAACAATAAGAAGTAGTAAGAATAATTTCTCGTAATAAAATCGATTACGCCCTATGATCGTTAGTCCTTGTACCTGCATGGTTCAACGGTTATTTCTGTTTATATATATATATATATTTTTTGTTTCGCTTCCCAAGTATCATTTTTCATCGGTAAGTGCGCCCTATTGTACGTTTTCGTCGGAGCCAAAGTGATACAATGATTCTTCGTCCGAGCCGTTTGAACGTCGACGTCGTCGCGGTGGTCGACATCGGCCATCGTTAACAGCGTCCCGTGGACGAGAATCGCGACGTCGACCGATCGAGACTGATGGACAGCGACGACCACGGCGTCGACATCCTCGTTCACGTCCAACGACAACGACAACGATGACGACGATTACGACGACGACGACGACGACGACGACAACGACGACGACGACGACGACGACGACGACGGAAGGCTCGCTCTGGCGAAGCTTTCGCGTCTCGCGAGATGCCATACCCTTTTCAACAGTAACAGAGCCTAAGCTCCGCTCGGATTGCTGTGTGCATAGTGCCGCAACGAGTCCAAACGAGGGAATGGAAGAAAAGGTAGAGATAGAAGCGAGACACGGGTGCAGGGAGCCATCATGGACGGTAACGAAACAAAATCAAAGAGAAACGGAACGAAAAGAGGTGAGGTTGTTTCGTGTGTGATTTTTCATTTTCTTCGAATGTTTTCGGAGCTTGTGAATAGAGGTTGAGGATTTTTTGTTTTGGGCCAGGGAGAGGGGGTATTTGGGGAAGAAGGACCGTGTCGATTTGATTCCTTCTTCTCTGACACGCATTTCCTCTCTCTTTCTCTCTCATTCTCACTGTTCTTGCACACGCGAAAATGCAACGGTTGATGGATTTACTCTCACCTCGCCTTTCTCACCCTACACGTTGAATTCTATTAGAGGCTCATTTTCTTATTTTCTTCCTATTTACACGTGCCGTGCAAAATCACAAACTTTCAGTCTACAGTCGCGCGCCGATTTTCTTATTCTTTTCTTTTTCTCTCGCTCTCACTCTTTCTTTCTTTTTTAAATGATGAGTAGAACACGCTCAGTAGTCGCACCGGGGAACGCCGAGGCCCCTGTGCACGATTTACAATTATTACAGTTTTATATCATTCCCCCGAGAAAAATAACAAAATGTATATATATATTTATTTATTTATATATTTATATTTATATTTATATTTATATTCATATTTATATTCATACGAAGATAGATATATACATATACCATTGTTGTGTGTATATACATATATATCCATAATTAATTCCGTACTTTTGTATATATTAATATATAAAGAGATATTAATAATAGTACTTTTTTTTTTTATTTAGTTCGGTAATGTACACTAGCGAACGGGACGCTGTCACTCGCCGAGGTGAAAACAAAACGTCCTATACGTGCTCCTTATCCTATGATCAGCTAAACCTAGTCCCTAGGTAACACCTACACCTATGTAACTACACTCATAATGTTCACTTGCACAGCCATAGTTTCTTTTCTTCTCGTCGCTATTCTCGTACACGACTCTCTATCTCTCTCTCTTTCTCTCTCTCTCTCCACCTCCCATGAACTCTCCCCATTTCCTCTGTATCTCGATTTCATCGAACCCATCGTGCCCCGTTAGCTATTCTGACGCAAACACGATCAAGAGGCCGATATCGACGCGTCAACTTCGTGACGAGCGATCCTGCGTCGCGTTGTTGGTCGAAGCAAGATTCTTTGGCTGCCAAAGGCCGCCAAGAGGCCACCCCCACCACACCGTTCGGTCACCACGCCCCTTTTTACGCTGACGCGGCTAGGAAATAAGTGGGAGTCGCGTTCGACGCGATTCTTGGTGGGAGAAAGCGACCTCGAACGGTCAAACGATCCAGATTCGACTTCAACGCTCTGGGAGTCGCTTCGAAGGCAGCGAACAAAACTCTAGGAATTTTTATGGTAACCGGGAAAAGTTATTATTGGTCCCTGATTCGATCAAATAATCGCGCAAGGTGAAGTTAGTACCTCGAAGTAAATGTGAGTCTCGAGAATTCTGTGGTGGGAAATGTCGCGCGACAAGCGGTGAAATCGTATGGAAAATGGTGAAACATTTTAATGGAAATGTGGATTATATTTTTTAGTACGGAGTAACTTCAGTAGGAATTACTGTATCGCATTTATAACACGTAATATTCTTTTTTCTAAATCAAAGTCACAATATTGATTTTATTTAAGAATAATATAGCAAAAGATTGAATAGGATTCGTTCAAGAATATTCTCAAAAATGAAGTTTTAGTACTAAGAAATGTTGCTTCACATTTTCATTCGTACATTTTCATACTTTCCCGATTGCAACCACTTGTCACGCACAAAAATGGCTGCCCGTTTGCCCGATGGGGGCTAGGATAGACCGTAAAATGATCAAACGTCTCTGCACAATATCGACAATAATACTTAACAATTTCCATACTTTCGTCCTCTATAAGCTACCGTACGACTAAACCCTCAAATCCCATATTATATTACAACAATTTATAACCTCCTAAACGCATATCAAACATTGAAAGATCCGATTGTCTCAAGAAACGCTCGAAGCCAAAGCGCTGAAAGCTTACCAATATTACCAACGTTTTCAACTAATAATACGATAACAACGATTTCTAAATTTTCTAAGTTTCACGGATCCTCGAAGCACTTTGGTACAAATTTTCGCAAAGAAATTCCATGGACGATTATTCAGCCCTCTAATTAGATTTATTGAGACCTCCGATGAAATCTTTCAAGGTTCCTAAAACAACCCTCGAATTGGAGAACCGAATTACGGATACCGTGACAGAGACACGGGATGGCGGACAAGGGTGCAGAGACGAAGAGAAAGGGAAGCTGGGAGACAAAGAGATTTCTCGATTTCAATGACAGACAGAACGATCGTCGTCCGCGATACTTTTTCTTAGAAATAGCTGAACATCGCGTGAAATCGTTGGCCAAATGTTGTGTGACGCGACGACTTGGAAAAGTGAACGGAAACGTGATTTTCACTCGTTTTGTGCCTCGCCCACGTTCCCTGCGGGGTTGTACAACGCAACCGCTTGGGAAACTTAATTTATTCGACGAGTGACAGCGACCTACGGCTCGCATTTTTACTATCGCAATATTGCACGATTATTTTTTCATCATCATCATCATCATCATCATCATTATCATCATCTTCTCCTATCATCATCATCATCATCATCATCATCATCTTCATCATTATGATCATCATCATCATCATTATCATCATCATCATCGTTTCATTAAATTCATCTTCAATTTCAATAAGGTGTTAGCACCAATCTATTATATCACAATGTTCCACTCCACACCACGCAACTGTAAATATATAAATACCTATATCGTAGTAGTAGTAATAGTAGTAGTAGTAATAGTAATAGTAGTAATAGTAGCGATAGTAGTGGTGGTAGTAATAGTAATAGTAGTAATAGTAGTAGCGGTAGCAATAATAGTAGTAGTGTAATCATAGTAATAGTAGTACACAGTAGAGATTTCCGTTTAATTAATAAAGATTTCGATATAACAGCCAGGCGACCGCCCATCAACGTGCAAAACACGCCGTTGCTGGTCACTTCGATATCTCGTGAACTCTGTCTGTGTGTGTCTGTCTGTCTCTGTGTATGCATGTTTCTTCTGTGTTCCGAGTATTTCTCTCTTTACCTCAACCCCAAATCGTCGGTGTATCTCCCTTTCGGTTTGCATGTGTACGGATTTGTTCGCGTGTGTTCGTATATCTGCACTTACTTTTTTTGTGAGATTTCATCCAGGTCGGATGCTTTGGACGACGAACGCCAAGAACCACGGTCGGAAAGAAACCTGACTCGCGATTCGGATAAGAATGCCCGATTTTTGCGACGGGGACACGTCTCGCTGAATCGCCCTCCAAACCCGTTCCACCACTTCCGTCGCGCGAAAACGAATGAACTTTCCACCCCTGACTTGTCTCTTTCGGACGTTATTAGCGCTTCTTTCGACAGAGCACAGACTGCTTCCGTTCTCGGTTAAGGCAGAAACACTTTGACGCGTTGGGGTGTCTTTTTGAAAGAAGTCTACCGGCCGATATTGTATTTAATAACGCGAAATACCATCGTGAAATTAACGAGAATGGTAAAATTGCTTTTTATATCGAGGACTGAAAAGTGGTTAGAAGCAATGTGGATTACTTAATATTGTTGGATCGGGTTAAAAGTGGTTACCTTGAGTAAGCACTGATGAAAATAGAGTTGGCTGCGAAGGGGTTGGTTTGTAAAGGTTCAAGGACTAGTACCTTCTATAAGGATAATTTCCCTGTTATCTACTTTGAACTGTTCGAATAAAATCTTTGAATAAATTCCCTTTTTACGGAGTACCCATTGCATGGTTTAATAATATCTATACTTCGAACTACGAATTCTTCCACGTATGTTTATTTCAAAAATTGCACTTTTGCATTGCTAAATAATTGAATAGCCCGAATCGACGGGAATTAAAATAATTATGGCCAATCGCTCGCTACAACAAAGTTCACTTAGGTTCGCTGCGTTTGGAAGAAACTTAGCAAGTGATAGTTAAACCGTCGATAACTCGAAAGAAGAGACTCTTTCGTGCCTGGCGATGGAAAGTTCACTTGTCTAATGTCGATATAACTGACCCAGCTCGATGGATCGATTCCTCGTTTCTGATGGATCGGTATCGGGATAATATTTGAGCATCACGGGGGATCACACGGTACTCCTTCGTTCTCCCCCTTTCCCAGCCTCGTTTTTCGCCCTCGAAATACGCGACGCTCCGCGAATGACTCGCATACCTATCAAATACTGAAGACGTAACGAGAACCCATCCACGTCGATTCCCCCGAATGCCATCCCGGGAAATATTTACGCAGCCGTGAGGGTATGCTGCGAGGCACGCGCGAGACATGTCTCGAAAGCAAGCGACACTTTTTCCCACCCCTCCCCCCAGCCAGCAATTCCGAATTTAATTAATAGACACTAGACGTATTGACTGATACTCGCTTTTGATTTATCACAGTTAACGCTGGAAGCCGGGTGAACATGATCGAGAGACGTCATGGCGAGGCTCGTTGGGGACTGTACTCGAATTTTGAGGATCGTGGTGTGCGTCGAATCTATGATTTTTAGGATTTTGATAGAGCACTGAAATTTGAATGGTACGGAGATGAATTGGGGTTTAGTTTCGAATGTGCAACAAACTGTAGAAGGGTGTTAGAGGTTGAAGAATTTTTCTGTAAATTTCGTGGAAAGCTTTCGTGGAACCCTTCAACGCTTCACTGCCTTCTGAAAAATTTATACAACATCGAAAATGGAATATTCGAATAAAAAGAATCTTCGTTGATTCGGAGGGTCAACAATCCCTCGAAGATGAATAGAACTCTTGGAATGACAATTGCCTAATTTCACCAAGTACTGAACTTCTACCGAGATAATATCACAATGTAAAAAACCCACTCGGCTCGACCTACCTGCAGAAACGAAAGCGAAACCTGACACTCGTATATCAATGTACCAAACCATTCTCTTTTCACAAACGACCGTTCCATCAATTTCCTGGACCTTTCCGCATTCATCGATCCCCACGCTTCGAACACGTCCAGGCCGCGACCTGGCCTCGTTTGCGTTCAATCATAATTCACGCGGTCTGAACTTGCCCTGGTTGTTGTTTTCGAGACACCCCTGCGCGCATAATGTCGCCACGTGGCCTGGAAGTTTGTCACGAGTTGGGGACAATTTTCAGCCAGACGCGATCGTTCCAGCGGCTCGCGGGGAGAGAAGCGAGGTTCCAGGCGAGATAAATGCACGCAGAACGGTGCGGAAGGTAAACGATGGACCGTGGCGAATGGTCGAGAGGGAACGCGGAGATGCAGTCGAGGGTCTTGTGGAAAATGCATACACCGTGACGATCTTCCGAGGCTACAAGGTAAGCTACGTTGGTTAGGTGTATCGAGGAATTTTCCTCGTCCGCGAAAACAACTTGGGAATTCATCTGGCGAAGCCACGAAGTCCTGGAAAGAGCGCAGCCTTTGATTTTATCGACGCGGAACCCAGTTACGCGTGGAGCTGTGCTGATCGAACCAAGGACATTTGCGTCGCTTCTAATCAGTGCTGAGGCGTTTATAGGAAGAAATCGCAGCTCGGATTAACTCGAGAAAATGTAACGCGAGCGATGCAATACTTGCACTGTCCTAGTTGTGAATGCGATTCAGCGAAGACGGTTTCGATCGCTGGAGCTTTTGGAATCTGTTACCTGCTCGCTGAGCAACCCTTAGAGGGGATGATACCGGCGAGAAACTATGCGAGACTATGCTTCTTCTCGGCGTTGCGAGGGAGGTCTGCTTTTTTTCCCAATAGTATTTATTACAGCTTTTTTGTAGATTAATATTTTTGAATGGAAATTGCCATAAATGTTGTTCAAAGCAGGAACTTTTAACCCTTTGCACTCCTATGTCGAGTGGGACTTGACGTCAGTTTTGATCTCAGGAGCTCCTTTGTCGAGACCCACTCGACATTCATTCATGTCCAAATCAATAGGGAAGGAAAATGTTTCAATAGATATCATACACTTGAAAATGGCAAAATGTGTGAATAAGTGAAAGTAAATTTCAAATAAAACACTTAAAAGCGTTCGGAGCTGCTGGTAACGAAATTGAAATACAAATCAAAGTGCAAAGGGTTAGTACATCTATCAAACATTCGCATTAGACTGCGTATCGCCAGGAAAAATTCCTCAATGTTGGGCAGTGAATACTCCAAAGATATTTTGACGACGTTCTGTCCACTAACAAATTTCATTTTTACGCCAGTAACGTTTACTCTAATGATACTACAATGAATAACGGAAGAATCTTCCCCAAACATCCTGACAGAGGAACGCCACTTCCTCCCAGGAGCGCTCTTTCCAGTCCTTCCTTCCCAACAAATGTTTCCACACAGTATCTAAAATTCCAATCATATCTACCCTCGAATAACCAAATCATAATCGACCCTGTTGACATTCCCTTTCCTACCACAAAATCGATCTCTTATTTTCTTTAGAATTTAATTCCTAATTAGCCTCGATCAGTCGAAGCAGTCGATCGCGGTTACTCGTGTCGTCGGTGACTCGTCTGGCTGCCATTTAGGTTGGCCGTTTTCGTCCCAGTGAGCCGCGTCTGCGGCATTTACGCTACCAAGTCAACCATGTGCACCTCTTTTTCCCAGCGGAGGTCTCCGTCGCTCTAAAAGCACACGCGGAAGAGGCATAATCGCGGCCACCTAACAACGGGGCTGGCGCAGAACGATTGCCTCGGTCGTGCAAAGCACAAAGGCTCGGGGCTGACGGTGCTTGTCTAGATGGCTGGTAATAATCCCGTTTCCGCGAGAGTCTGCCGCGGAAGTCGGCTGAAGTGCCGTGTAACTCGCGCATTCCAACAGACCCATCGACCCAGCCAGTCTCCGTGTGTTTTCGAATCCCTCGAATCGGAGTGAACTGGGTTTTCGGATAAAAAATCGATGCGGTCCACTTTCTCGAAGTTTGGTAAAAATCATCCTGAATAGGTCGAGAAAGAATTCAGAAAATTTGTAACGCTATAGACGTGAGATGAGGACAGTCGATCCGCCAGTTAGTTCCTGTTTTCAGCTGGCTTAAGAAAATGGGCAAAACGTTGAATACTTCTGTTCAGATCGGTGCAATTTTGTTAATCTCAGGCCTTCCTGTTTCAATAATCGTGGCACGTTACCAATAAGATAGACCTAACACGAATTTCAACGGCAAGGATCGATTAAATTTTTAGAACCCCACTAATTCACATTTAAATAATAACTATACGCCTCACATCGCCTCTTTCCAAGCCCAATCTACACTTTTTCTGTCCTATCTCACTTCAACGAAAAATTCTAGTCACGAGCGTCGATTCGTACGCGATCGATGGATCCACTCGATAAGAAAACGCGCGTCGTTGACGTCCGTCCACGTGACACGAAGACGTGCGGTTCCCTGACGCGGTTGATCGTCCGAGGATTCGATCGATGCGATCAGTGGTGTATCGGTCGACTCGCGCGTGCTACAATTCCGGAAATTGGCAGTGCTCGAAACCGGCTGGACGCGTCGAGACGTATTAGCCTCGAAAATGGGACGGCTACGACGACGTCGAGAGCTTGCGATCGATATCAGGTTGCTGGAAAGGGGGTGGACTAATTATATATCGTGTCGATGCGATTCTTGTAATAAAACAACGCGGCGTCGCGACGATACGCGCCGTCACGAACGCCAACCTGTCTGATGGATAAACGTTGGTCCCGCCACGGCCAATCCGCTCGCGATTAATTTTGTAAAACGCTGTC